GGTAGTTGAGTCTGTCTATGCCATAACTTTGGGAGACTAGTTTGGTAGGGATAATACTTTGCTTTTGCTTTGTATCATTCTTTTTGATTTCATGTTGTTCTTATATATATATATATATTCTTTCATATTATTTCTGTGGTGGTACTAATATTGTCTTTTTTTGTCTTTTTGTCTTCTTGAGCCGAGGGTCTTTCGGAAACAGCCTCTCTACTCCTTCGGGGTAGGGGTTAGGTCTGCGTACACACTACCCTCCCCAGACCCCACTAGTGGGATTTCGCTGGGTTGTTGTTGTTGTTGTTGTTGTCTATTGTCACTGTGTTACTCGTTACTTAATTTCAATAAATGGAATTTCATATATAGTTCTTAAGTGATATTTCCTTATTTGACAATCTCCCACAAACTCTTTAAGATAGCCAAGTGGCTTTATAGTAGCTTGTCACTTGGCTTAACCACAATGCAAACTTTCTTGCTTTAATATATATATAGACTAGCGTAACTGAAAAGTTATTCGTGTTCAGTACTAGAGCCGCCAATATGGGCTTGGCTCATTGGACCAGCACAATCCAGCCCGTGATTTAGCAGGGCTGGGCTAGAATTTTTGGAGCCCATTTAAAAATGAGGCTTTTAAGGCCGGCCCGAGTAAGCCCGTGGCCCGTGAAGTTTGACTGGGGCTGGGCTGGGGCTGGGCTGGCCCGTGGGCCTAATAAAAACACGTATTTAAAATATATAAATATAAAAAGCATATGACACAAAAAATAACAAGAAGAGTATCCCAAATGTAGATGTTAATTATTCTTAATATTTAACTAATTAATATTGCATACAAATAGTAGATATAGATGAAAGTGAGGATGTTAAGACAACCTTCTGACAAGCGGATTCAAATGTGTTTGATGAAGATGATGTGTTGGATATCCATAAGTGTCATGGACGTTCTCTTGAATAATTTGTTTGAGTTTTTACTTTTAGTGAATGAAATATAGTCTTGTCTTTTATTATAGTAGTATTTATTGTGATATATTAGAACCGTATAAAAAGTTATTTTAAAAATATTTATCTTCTTTAAGTATTTATTTACTTTTATTGTGATATATTAGAACCAATAAGATTTTTTTAACTTTTAAATATTTATCTTTTTTTAGTTTAGAACTTAAAAAAATATATAAAATTATATTTTAAAAATGATGTGCCGGCCCGTGGCGGCCCGTAGCCCACATAGGGTTGGAGTGGGTCGACCATTATAAGGTCATCAAAATGGTGGGCTAGCCCAACCCAGCCCGTCAATTGCTAAAGCCCACGTGTGTTGGGCTAGCCCGGCCCCGCCCATATTAACAGCCCTATTCAGTACATATGTTGATATTTTCTTTTTATTCAGTTATATATGCATGAAATTTTCTTACCCCTCGTCTCTATATAAGGATATTTTAATCAAGAATGCCAAAGTGGTGTAGACCGTGTAGTAATTGCTTTTTGACTTTGACGATATTGCTTAATATTATGCTAATATTAGAACATCCAACCATCTTTGAACTTTGGATTTAAGTGAACACATTATGTAAAGAAAATCTTTACAGTATAATTTAACATATTATAGACTTTTACTTGCAATTTCCTTTTCAACCTAACGTGTAAATATTACTATACAACTTTCAAACTTTATACTATATCATTAATTATGTCGGAAGAAGAAAAAGAAAAAAGGGAAGGAAAGAATGATAACCGTATCCGTAATAGCCAGCTTTTAATAACAGCTAGATTTATGATTGCCTTGTCAAATAAATTTACTGAGAGAAGAAGCAGCAAAAAGCAGAATCACTGTAAGTCTATTATTTACTCTGTTTATTATCTTCTACAAATAAGAAAAAATTAATGCATTTCTTTTCGTTTTTTGGTTTCTCTTTCCTTCACTTTTACTTGATCAAGAACTGAGATTCAATTTAGCTGTTTCTTTCCTATATCTGATCATTTCTTCGCCTTTCACTTCACTTTGGTTTGTGTACTGTTATCCTCTTAATTAATTGCATGATATTGCTTTCTTGCATTGATTTCTCATGCCAAAGCAACTCATGATTTTTTTCACTAACTCAAATGACAACAAGAATATTGAATTCCAAGATATGAGTAATTATAGTTCATAGGCAATCTTGGGTTGATTTTCTTTTCCTTTTATTCCCCCTTTGTAAACTAATTCTAGTTCAAGAAACATGTTTGGGCTCTTCAATTAAATTATTCCAAATTCTTGTTTTCATATTTCTTTATACTGCAATCCAAATTGCTATGTTAACTCACCTTCTGAAAGTTAGGAGATGAATAGTCATTTTCCTTGGAAGGATAGAATCTTGAATTTGCTGGGGATTCGCTTTGTCTTTTTACCCAAGCGTTTGTAAATGTAACTATACCTAATTAGACTCATCATTTTATCTTTGAATTCTAATTTATTGATTAAAGAATTAGGAAAAGCTAGTGCAGTACCTTTATGTTGATAGTGTTGTGCTGTAGATAAACATCATCATGTTCCCCCCTTGTTGATATTCTCTAGAAATATTGACCAACGTAGAAGCAACGCCAAGATGCCAAAAGGAACAAAATTCTGTGGCAAAAAAAAAAAGGAAAACCAAACAAAAAGGAAAAATAATTCTGTTAGCAATCCTTTATTCCCACCAATGTCAAGAAGTCATATATATATTGTGGTAAAAATTGTATATTTTGCTGCAGCTAGCCCTGAGAATGATCATGGGAGCAGAGGGTTTTGGTACAAAATCTGCAATTTCTAAGACTTATGCAAATATGGGGTTGGAACAATATGATAGAGGAGATAAAGGAAATCCCAAGATTCTATCAATTCTAGCTTCTGTTCTTGAGAGAACAGTTCAAAAGAATGAGAAGGCAATGAAGGGATCGAAGGAGAGAGGTGTTGTGACTGTCTTTCATGGCACAAGAGCTCCTGTTTTAACAGTTCGGCAGTACATTGAGCGCATTTTTAAGTATTCCAATTTCAGCCCTTCGTGTTTCGTGGTTGCATATGTATACTTGGAGAAATTTCTCAACCTGACTGATTGTTTACTGACGTCGCTTAATGTTCACCGGCTTCTTATCACTAGCATTGTGTTGGCTGTCAAGTTTGTTGATGATGAGTAAGTACTCTTGCCATACTGCTGCAAATAGTCACAAAGTTCATTTCTATGTTTATAAGTTTTTGTGCTTTTTCAATAGAATTTCAGATGATGAGTGTTTGATAGAAACTTTGCCAATATCCACTTGCCTTAAAATGTCGTAGTTTCAAGTGCCATAGGATATTGACTATAGAGTGGCTGCTTGTGTCCAACAATCAGGTTCGGATGCCAAACTCAAGCCTCTATCGCCACAGCGCTACTTAACTTGGAAACTCTGAAATTCTGGAAAGATAATGCTGCAGCTTCTGCCTACTGTTATGGCATAATGTTATACTTTCTCCTGAATCAATTAGTGAAACATAAATATACTGAAGTCTTGATCAAAGCAAAGGAAAGAGGCTTGACTTAAGTTGGAACTGTAGGTAGTCCTTAATGTAATGTATCAGACATCCCACCATGACAGAATCTGCTTGATAGAATGTAACAAAAACTTTAACGTGGTTAAAACTGTTGGATTTCTTATGAGATTTTCACTCTTTTTTCAGCTGCTACAACAATGCTTATTATGCAAAAGTAGGAGGGATAACCACAGCAGAATTGAACAAGCTGGAGATGAAATTCTTGAAAGCCCTTGATTTCCGACTGCACGTAAGTGTTGAGAGCTTTGATAAGTACTGCTTGAAGCTAGAGAAAGAATCCAATTCGAAATTACAGATTGATCGACCTATCCGAATATTTGCATGGGGAAAAGGTATGATAAATAAAGACATAGTATCAAATTGTTCACCTACGGTTGGAGGATACACTTGTAGAGCTTTCTAAGTGTAGGGATCCAATGGACAGGCCTGAAGAGGCAGAGAAAAATCTTCTGAATTGTGTAGCTGTCTTTGCAGAACTGATAAGGGATTTGAATATTAACTGCTGGTTTATGCCTAAACTGTAACCTTTCTCTATGTTTCATGCTATATTTAAACTAGCCAATCCAATATTAACAAAAACTGAAGCCATGAAAAATTAATGATCATCTTCTATACATGTCGCCAAATTTGCAACACTCAAACAACATCTATTGTAAGTGTCTAAGGAATTTGACATTGTATAAGCCATATCTTGGCTGCAAACATTAAAGGGATTATTTCAGCTGCTTACAAAGGAGTCAAATATGTTGATCCAGCTCCTTTCCTCGTTTAATTGTTACTAACCTCTCATTATAATAATAAACTGAACACATATGCCTCTGGCCCTGTGATCGAAATCCAAGATGTCTTAACATCATAGGCTACCAGCCGAGAACATTTAGTTAGGGAAACCGACAGTGCTAGAATCCCAGAAGCCATAATAACAAGACTTTATAATATGACAAGGGCATTTAAAGGTTAGAAGTTTGTTCCAAACCCCTGCAGCGCCTGGTTGAATCAGTACCCATATAGGGTTGTTTAACCCTAACCCAAAAATACCACTAAACTCGAAGTGAATGTGATCTCTAAGGTAGCACGACTGGACTGCAGGGAGCGGCCTCACCTCCCTGTTAGCAGGATTCCACAAATGTCGACATAATATTCTTTTTGCAACAAAAACAAGCTCCACAGAACCTATCAGCTTCGATAAATCAAATTTTGCAATTAAAGGGGTTTCTCCTATTTTATCCTCTGAAATAATGGTGATGGCAACTGAATCTAGGTCTGCACGGCGGTCATAAATAAGGAGTTGGGGACGGCTTCTGTTGTAAAGTTAGAGCTGTTGATTAGAGTATACCAGCTCTTGCACACGCACTTAACTCGCAACAACGACTTCACCGGCAATCTCACTAAAATCTCCCTTGCTAAATCTTCATTGGAAATGTAACCATCATCATCTTTAACACCGATGGCCATCTTATATTAGTACAGTTAATATTAAAAAGAAATGATTACCTATTTATAGTGTCGGAGTAGCCGAAATTAGTAAGGAAAATAACTTGGAAAGCAAGAAAAGACTTGGTGGGCAGTTGGACATAAGAATTATAAAATTTTCGGAAAAAAGTGCGGAAAAATTTCTAAGTGAAAATGGTGTTTAAAAAAAAAATTAGAGTTGTGTTTGGACATGAATATAAATTTGGCTATTTTTGAATTTTTGTGAGTGATCTGAAGTGAATTTTGTAAAATAACTTTTTGAAATTTTTCAACTTTTCAAAAAATTTCGAAATTTATCTTAAAGTGAAAATGCAAAGTTTCGGTCAAACACTAATTTTGGAAAAAAAAAAATGAATTTTTTTTTTAAAAAAAAAAATGAATTTTTTTTTTAAAAAAAAAAAAGAGTCTTTTTTTATCGCCAAATGGGCCCTTAGACCAGAAAATAGAGGGAGAAATTCAAAAATAGCCAGATTTACCACTGGTCGTTGAAAAATAGCCAAGTTTCAAAAGTCATCGAAATTTAGCCACTTTAAATCTGAGCGAAAACACTGTTCAAAATCCGGAAAAATACGCCCGCAAATTTTACGGGAGTTCCAGCATAAGTATGCTTGAACTCCCGTAAATTTTACGGGAGTTCCAGGATAACTATGCTGGAACTCCCGCAAATTTTACGGGAGTTCAAGCATAATTATGCTGGAACTCCCGCAAATTTTACGGGAGTTCCAGCAAGTATAATTGTCCAGTATAATATACTGGAGTTTGGAGCACTGGTGCTCCAGTCTCCCGCAAATTTTACAGGAGTTAGCAAAGTATACCGGTCCAGCATAATATGCTGGAGTTCGTACACAAATGCACCAGAACTCCCGTATATTATACTGGACCGGTCCCTGTTGCAGCAAAATAGTGGCTATTTTTCATTGACTTGATAAACGCTGGCTATTTTTCATTGACCAGTGTGAAAACTTGCTATACCATGATATTTTAACGAAAATAGAAGTCCGAACAAACGAACGTAATAAGTCTAATAGCCTGTTTGGCCAAGCTTCTTTTTGGCCAAAAGAGCTTTTTTTTTTCAAAAAATTGAGGTGTTTGGCCAAGCTTTTGGAAGGAAAAAAAGTGCTTTTGAGGAGAAGCAGAAGCAGTTTTGGAGAAGCAGAAAAAAGTAGCTTCTCTCCAAAAGCACTTTTTTAAGAAGCACTTTTGAGAAAAATACACTTAGAAACAGTTTTTTAAAGCTTGGCCAAACACTAATTGCTGCTCAGAAGTGCTTTTCAAACTAATTAGCCAAACACAAACTGCTTCTCACCAAAAGTACTTTTGAGAAAAGCACTTCTGAAAAAAAAGCACTTCTCAAAATAAGCTGATTTTTGCAGCTTGACCAAACGGGCTATAAAACAATAGTAAAGATCCTAATAAAATAACACATTTTAGGTTTTGCGTGAATGCATTTAATTTTTGGTTTGGTGTTATATCTCCTAATATTTTAGTTTCTTTCTTTTCTTTTCCTCTTTCCTTTTATATTTGTGATTTTCAAGCTTATAATGCCTGAGACAAGTGGAGATTTGATTACATTATTATAGGCTTTAAATATTACGTTGTGAAAAGATGACGTATACATGATGCTCTGTTTTTCAAATCTAACAGATGTATTATCCTAGCAAAATCAAAATTTGCTCTCCTTCAGGGTGAAGATTTGAAATATAAGATCCATTTTTGTGTTTTTGAGACAACAGACCCAAAATAAAAACGAGTGAAAGAAACCTTGGACGATCAAATCTAATGTTTCTGCAATTCCATTTTTGTGTTTTTTTTAACTGAAAATGTTGTAGGTTTGTGACTGAGAAGAGTGGATAGAAGGAACTTAACAGCTAAAATACGAATTATAAGCACATTGCCATAAAAACTCTACATGAGGGAATAATGCAAACCAGGAAATTAAATAATATCAGTTAGTTCTTTAAGACTGAGAGATTTTTTTTTTTTTCAAGAATACATATGGGAGACCTCACAACTTAGCAAAAATATAAAAATCCTATAGCTTTGCAATTGAACTTGTTTTAATATTATGACATAAATAAAAAGGTTGCTTCAAGTTCACTTCTATTTCTTTTTTTTAAATTTATTCGCAGCAAATTGACCCCGCCAGTATTCAGGACAGCAATGGCGCTGCTCCATTTCGAAAAGGCATATCCATTGATTTCTAACTGAAATGCTACAAAGAAAAGCGGCTAACTATGTAACAGATCTAAAGCTGAGATCACAAAAATTCCTGCATTTTCCTCCAAGTTGGAATTCGGAGAGGCAGATTACCAGAAAGCTAAACAATAAAGCATTCCACACAAAGTAACTGGCAAAGAGAAACTTGATATTAGACATCATGACTGGCATATTTTTGCTTCACCATTTCAGCTCGATGCATTCTTCCGTGCAGCATAAACACGGTAAGCTGCCAGTCCTACGACAGCTACAGCAGCTCCAACTGTGACAGCAACAGAGTCAGAATTGCATGTTGAACTTTGAAGGACAACAAAGCATCTAGACATATGATATAATTAAGAGAATTCGTACCCTCCACATGAACCATCCTGTCTTGTATAAACGACATATTGAGCAAATCATCCTAGATGGGTGAAAATTAAGAAATGATATTTATTCTACTTGCACAAGGGTGTCTGTCCATTTCAATGTGCTTGACAGCCTTATATGACTAAGGATCTTAGGTACAACCTACAGTGCAGCCAATTAAACGCCAACTAAATCGGAATCCCCCTCACACTTTGAGCACCGCCCTTCTGGTACTTTTCTCCAGTTGGCCAGAGGATAATATCATAGCTGACACTACGAAGTTAAAAATGCGGAGAGAAGTTCAAACTGTAAGCTTGCTGGCCTCTAAACTCATGTAAGGATACATGAAAGCGGAAACAAACACCTACAGTTGGTTCTTTTTTGCCAAATATTCCAAAAAAAATTGTTTAATCTTGGAGAACCTAAGTGCTGATTTAGGTTAGACCTATGTCAGTCCTTAGTTAGCTCCTAAAGTTCAGTGGAAATGTGCAAGATACTTGGAGCCCATTTGGATGGGCTTGTTGTAAGTGACTTTTAAGCCAAAAGCCATAAGTTAGGAATTCTAGCTTTTGGCTTTTGGCTTATATTTGTATTTTAGCTTAAAAACAAGTGCTTAAAAGCACTTTTTTACTTTATCCAAACACTACAAAATGGCTTAAAAGCTATCTTGGCTTAGAAGCACTTAAAATAAGCCAATCCAAACGGGCTCTAAACCATCTCTAGCTTTAATTTCAGCTCATTAAAGCTAAAAGAAACCACTTTGTCATTAACCCTCAACTTTCAAGGATAAGAAAATATACATGTGAAACCCACAATAATGTTACTACCTGTTTGTTTTCCCAACATGATTGCAGCAAAAATTGCTTTAATTTAAGCTCCAAAAGAATTCATATTATACCTGATACAAACATGAGAGATCGATTGATGAGCCGATGATATTGCTTACGGCTTCTTCCTGCTTCAGTTTCAGGAATGCTCAAATGTGGATGCTCCGCTGCATTAACAATCCTTCGGAACAAATTACTGAAGTCTCCAAGCTTCGTGCTGATTGGTATGGGAGCTTCAATCCCTAAATCCTGGCTAACCTGTTAAACAATGGATATACTCAATCACATGCACCAGTACTAGCTGAGCATCACTCCTCAAGACAATTGTTATGATGAGGTGCAGCAATTTAGCAAGTTAACTTGGTGCAGGTGTAAGGCATTTCACTAAAATTGCTGGACAAATTAAGCTCATACAAGCTCCAGTACAGCAATAATTTGAATCTGAATGTGAATTACTAATTGACCAATATATATATATATAGATGGTATATAGGATAGGTACCCTTGTTGAATCTTGAATTTCGGTCAAATAAGGATCCAGATCATCCTTAGCAGCTACAATGAGACAGGGCACCTCATGCCCAGTGGCCTCTCCATGGCTAGCAACATCCACCAGTAAATCTGCTGCTCTCTTCCAGGAAGCTTCGCTTGAACTGAACACAAAAGGTACTACAATGAGCTATTTAGCAAATGTAAAAGTGAAAACCAGGAGGTATGAAAAACAGAATTTGTGGCAGAATAATAATGGAACAAAGGGAAGAGCTACTCTTCCCTCTCATTCATACTTCAGCAACATAGGCTTCATGTATAGTTTAAACACTTAACTATGAAGAAGACGAACTAGAAAAAGTAGAACAAGAATAAAAGAATAAAGAAAGATGAAAAGGAGGAAGAATCAAAGAGAACTTCATAAACACCTCAGGCATGAGCTATCATTAATATTTCAGCTATGCCTGACCTCTTTCCCTTTTTGCCTTCTGACATGTCCATTACTAAACATTTAGACGGTCTCATACCACTTAACAGATTGCTTAGATGTCCTTGGAAAGGTAGTAATAACTCGGTCTACCGCCAATTAAATATACCACTATCACCAATCTTCTGGACAAAAGTAGCTCGTGAATCCATATCCAAAACTGCAAAAGTTTAATTTGCATATCTTTGTATTATTCTGCTCTCCTTCCCTTTTTTGAATTTTTCTTTTTTTTGTTGTTGTTGTTGTTGGTTGGGGGGGGGGGGGGGTAGGGGGGGAGGGTTGTCGCTTCCCTTTTTGTTTTGTGGGGCAGAACTACTCCTGAATCCAATTTCAATCTATAGAAGTCAATCTTGTACAGCTTGCATAATCTTCGTGCTACAGTTAAAAAATATTACCTTACTACTAAAAAATTCAACCTATTGAGTTCTAACACAACTGAAGGTGCCAAACAGAAATCAATAGAATAACCGGTCATGCATAAAAGTGTCAAAGTTAAGAACAAAATAAACAGGATGATTTGTGTTCAGATGACTAGGGAGGAAGGGAGAAATTTCAGAAGCACAAACTTAAACCACTTGATTCGCTTCAGCAAAGATGTTTTAACATCACCTATCATGGACAAATAATGCTATATCACAATCTGCTAAAGCATCCTTGCTAGATAAAAGCTTTTTCACTCCATCTTCTGGTATCTCCCTTAGCACAAGAATCTTTTTAGTCCCCTGCCAATGTACAGAACAAATGTTCTTATGCTAATTACAGATTTAGGCAAAAGATTAGATGCAAAAGAGAAGAGGAAATCCAACATACAACCAAACACGCTAAAGAAACTTGTTTGGAAAGTATAAAAACTATAACAAATGGAGATATTCATCTATAGTTACAACCATTATCTTAATTTTATTCAAAGTTTCTTTCTTACAAGGGGAAAGATTGTTGTAATCGTGTATAAAAGGGGAGGATTCTAAAATTACGCCAAATTGTAGGGAAGGTCAATGTAACTTGTAAGATAGTAAGATTGAGTTCTTGTTTCATTATCATACCATTTGATTAACTCCTCCCAATTAGTGAAATTCTTCTTTTATTAGGGAAATTATGATCAAGCCACCCTTTTATTCCTCGGAATGAGTAGGCTTTCGTCCACTTTGGATCCAGAACTTGACATGCCCACAGGAGCCGTATCACTCTACCGAGATCAGTTTCAGCACTCATGACAGCATTAAAAGAAAGGATAGGTCAAACTCCTAGTTAGCTCCTTCAATTAAAACGGAAGTGAATCTGTGCCTCCCCGCATCTCCCAGAGAGCCTCCAACTCAATAATATTTGGCCTTATACAAATTTACTTTGTGACTTCATTGTCCTTTTCCTCTACAACCAGTTTGTGTCTGTTTACCTGTGTGTTATCTCAATCATAAGAACGCATATTCTTGCAACAATTATAACTTACTTTTGGCTTCTCACGGACAGCAAAGTGGATTGCATCACAGAGAAAGGTGTTGCACATCCTGAATCATGGTGAATATTTCTGCTACTTTCTTGGTACCTTTTCTATTAATATATAACACTTGCTATCCGACCATAAATAAGTAAATAAAAATTGGTAACATCTTAGATCAAATCATTTTGATGCCTCTCGCCCTTGCAATAGCCTTTAGCAAATTGCCCTGCAAATGCAAGAGCCTTATAGATTTACACGAGGTATGACTCTCATAGTTCTAAAAACTTCATGCTCCGAGAATCAGTAAAGCACTAAAGCTAAGAATTTCTTACGTCAAATATATATGAATGACCATCTCTTAGACACTTCATTACTTATAGGCAACTCATCATTAACAGATGGAAAAACTTAACTTCTCACCATGCGTCATTAGACTTCTCATTCTTTTAGTTTTCCATACTTACCCATGCACATAATTAGAACCAATAGAACCATAATCACGAGATGCAACATTATGTTGTACAACCGTGTTCCTTTCATCGGATTAAGCATAAAGAACATTATCCAAGAAAAGTACCACGACAGTATGCACCAGATGTCTTGAATATAGATAAACGTAAAATCAAAGTTCTTCACTCCTAACCTTTTTACCTGTAATTCAGTCTTTTCTTTTCTTTTCTTTTTTTGATGCTAGTAGTATTCTTGTATTTCTTATTTTTAGATCTTTGTTATTACACGTAGTGTCTTTGTTTTTTCTTGTGGTTGTTATTGTTGGTTGCTTCCTGTTTAGCGTTTCTTAAGCCGAGGGTCTATTGGAAACAAACTCTCTACCTTCACAAGGTGGGGGATAAGGTCTGCGTACACACTACCCTCCCCAGACCCCACTTGTGGGATTACACTGTAATTCAGTCTTTTTCCACTTGTTTTAATGAGTAAATGATACATATCAGTAACTTCATCTTTCAAGAAACCAAAATGATAAGATCTCTTACCCCGAGATCAACAGTATTTACTCCATATTGATCAGCAGTAGTTGATTCGTACTCTTCTGGGAATGGCCTGCATTACAGATTACAGAAATAACAAGGATAAAATAAGATAAGCACTCAGAAAATGGGCCATCAAGTCAAAATCTTTCTCATTGAAATTTCAGGAAAACAACTTGATGAGCAAGAGCTTCAGAAGAGAAACCTTCCAATAAACGAACTAAGAATGGCTGATTTTCCAGCCTCTTTTGGCCCAAAAACAAAACACTGATAGACATTTCTATCTGATTGCTGCTTCTTGCGATCTAACCGTCTTCTTCGAGTTACACGAATAGCAGACGAAGGCTCACCAGCATATCCAATGTATATAAGATTCTCCACACTATAAATGGGATCAAGAAGTGTCATCAGTGCCCACTGCAACCACAGGATAGAAAGAATCATCAGAACAATAGCATTCGAAAAAATATATATATATATAATTATAGACGACACTCTAAAGAGTTGAAATCACATAAGGGCGGCTTAAAAATAAAAATTCTGATGCCTAGCATAACAATAAAGACGTAGTAACATTAAAGGTTTAGGAACTGGCATGCTCAACAATTTTTACAGGCTCCTATATTGGCATTATGAATGTTACACCATTATGCAGATAAATCAATCACTCCAACTACATCCCCATCCCAAAGTACTTAGGGTTGGCTATATAAATTCACTATACGTTCAGCTTTATTTGAGTTCAGTATTCAGAGTTCCATCACAATTATTTTTATACTCATCATTAACCAACCGCGACCCACTCTTTTTTACAGACTTGTGACCGATTATGCATAGCTCACATTTGTAATGTAGGTAAACATTAAACCAACTTAAATCGGCCTCTAAGGAAGCACTGCATGTTGCAACTTAGACGCGCAAATGATCAAACAATGAGCAGCATGTAGATCCATAGAAATGACACCCGTAACCATGTTTCAACTCCCCACAAGCCACAAGAATTAACATTTAGTATGCCATATTGTCATCTTTTGACATAGATAGAATATGATAATATGCAAGCTGACAAAAATACTCCAGTAATATGCACCTCTGAAAGAAAACCATCAAGAGAGAGTCCTCCCAAGGCATCCTTCTCTGCAGCATCCTTGTATGGAGCTTCAGACCAGGGGCTGAATTACAAAGTCCATGAAATCACAACCAAGAGTCAGTATGATATAAACATAAATGGATTCAAAACCAGCTTATCACCTTTTTACTCCTAACCATGCATTTATAAGAGTGTACAACCAAGAGAATGCCGTGAATACAATTGTTTTTCCTGATTGGTGAAACATGCTCATAGGCTATTAAGCATTTATTTCCTTCACTAAACTTCTTTTTAAATAAGGTTATTGACTATAACTTCATAACAGCTCAAATGTTGCTCAACTCATATTTTTGGCGGGTCTTAACAGGCACTTTTTCTCTCTTTAAACAGACGCCACATATACATCACCTATCTTGAAATCAAATCATTAATCCTCATCTAACAGTAACATAATTTAAGAGAATATAACAAAGTATATGATATTAGGAAAGCAATATTACTTCTCAGGTGCAGTGGAAAACAAGTCATCTAGCTCATTCGATCGAAGTGCCTCATCCTGATTAAGATCAAAAACAAAGTTGTTAAAGTTGTGAGATGACATCATACATCATCAGTGGGAAATTTAATAAAACCAAATTGACGCTCTAAACAACCAGAATCAACAAAGAGAATAACCAAAATAAATAAATAAATAACTGAACAAATAGCTGACCAAGTACCTAAAATCATTTCCATAAATTAAAAGCAAAACTATTGAAATCAAATAAACTATTAACAAATAATTGCAAGATCTTATACGTCCTACTTCACAATAAGAGTCTACGTCTTGACGTTGCAGCCCAAGCGAAAAAGTTCCCATATGGCAAGACAGTCCAAAGGAACATTGGCAGGGGCAACCTATAAGAGCTTATGAAGGAAACAATAGAACATGTAATGACCATTAACTGTAGTACCTTCTATCAAACCCATCTCCCCCAATTCAAGCAACCAAACCTCACTCCCCATCCCACAATAACAGTGTATCAGGTATGATGTACAATTAAAAGAACGTTTTCTTGCTGAAATGTTTGGTTGCTTAATATCAATATGCTGCTCAAGAAACAAAAGTAACTTTCCTTGACTACTATCTCAACTCTTGACCTACATCATTTGCTATAGCCACCATGTAAATACTGTTAACCTTTTAACACTCAAAATAATCATTAAAAACTCCCACGACCCATTGCCCAACTTTTATTATTTCAGTTACATAATTCATGTCCAACCAGCCAGGGTTAATTGTGAAATTAGTTTCCAATATTTTCCACAGAAAACATTGTATACCACACCAAACACCCTATGAGAAAAGAAACTTTGAATCTATATAGGACGAGTAGTGCCAACAGTCTCTGAAATGAACTTGTGCATCATAACTTGAAGAATCTTAGAGAGAGAGAATGTGCATACACTATCAATGTCGAACGTATGGAAGATTCTTCTGAGGAAGTCCAATGCTTCATTGGTCAGCTCAACACTCTATAAGAAGGAAAAGTGAAGACTAGCAGTTAATAAGTAGAAAAATAAATCTTTGAAATTTGAAGCTGAGGAACATCACAGAAATTAGGAGCAAGGGGAACAACAGATCAACAGCTAGTACAATATATAAAAGAGAAGAGGAAGGATGAAAAGTGGGCACAGAATATAAAAAGAATCTTGCAAATTTAGTATGATATGTTTCCCAGAGAATGGAGTTAAAAATCTCTTCATGGGAGAATTAGATACTAAATGGGAGAAACATGCATGTCATAGTTGTTGAATTACTCTGCTCTTCATGCATACTTTTCTTAAAGCTTATTCTGCTCTTCATGCATACTTTTCTTAAAGCGCACTGTATGCTACCAAATACTTGAAGTAGTAGATGCAATACTTGAATAATTTGCATAACAAGCTTGAACACCGAATAGAAACAGAAACTAAAATTACTTGGTTACCCCTGAAAAAATTTACAAATGAACAAAACAAGAAAAAGGTCAAGGCATAATCTGACAGTGCACATCTACAGAAAGCAAGTATAGGTCAAGATCTAAACGGAAGCGATAACTAAACCTATTGGAAGGATAGTGTTTGACATCCCTTGCTTGGTAAGAAGAGAAATAAAAAATGGAGAAAAAGAATTAGATCCTTCTCAAAAAAGAAAAACACAGGAAATTCCAACTTCAGGTCCAGTCAGGTGATAAACTTGCCTGGTCAGGTTGTCTCTTGATGGGAGTAGGAAGCTGATCCTCACTAAGCCTGATCTCGTTGTTGTAGCCAAATTTCCGCAGGACAGTCCATGTTGTCTCCAGACGCCCTTTTTCAATAAACAGTGCATGAAGAAACAAGAAACCTGTCAATGTAAGACCCCGTTCATTGACACCATCAGGTAATTTATCTTGCACAACTCTCTTAACACCGACTATCTCAGAAGGCTGCAATGGAGCATTGAAGCATTTGACCTACACCATCATTGAATCATCTCAGAAACACAGACCACCAAAAGGAACAAGCATAATTAATAATTAGTCCTCCATAAAGTAGTTTCATCTTTACCAATACTAGTCAATGTTTAAATAGACTTGCTAGAAAAAGTTAGGCTAGATTTAAGTATATGACCTGAAAATCATTTAACTCTGCATCACTTAGGGCACCATCTCTATCAAGATCACAAAGAATAAATATCCGCTTCAAAGCCCTAACGCATCGTGGCTTTAAAGTTTGGGCCTCCTGATCAAACAGTGGAGCTGTTGGATGAAGCACAGCTTTTTGGGCATAGTAGAAAACCTCGGGAATCTGCAAGCATAGCATTAATGAGCAAACAAGAGAAATGATTAGAAAAGTTTTTGTAGTCATCCTAGCTTGACAGGGTCAACTATAAAGTTATGGTGCAAAGATAAAAGGTAATATGACTCACCTGGATATGCCTGTATGCTGAACATTCAATACACGTTTCAATTTCCCGAAATTGTTGCATAATTGGTGACATCACCTGCTCCAAACTGACTGGAATCTGTTCGTCCCTTTTATCAAGCATGCAACCCACGACAATGACAGGAACCCGAACCTGCTCAAAGTTGTGGTCCACGACACATTAGTAATAAATTCGTCACAGATAAAAACAGTTCTAGCGCAATTCATTTTTTTCTCCCCACTATCACTCCCAAGAATACGCTTTGCAACTCTCTTGAAAATTTACAAGACAAATTTACTCAAGAGACACATTGTCTCGGCACAAACCTCCAATCTGCGGAGTTCAGGAAGCCAGAAAGTACTCAGACGATCAAGAGTCGCAGGCTTATCACAAGCGTAAGTCAGTACAACTGCATCAGCTCTCTTCAGCTCTTCCACAAGTTTACCTCTATTTTCAGGACTGTTTAAAAAAGATTAAAATCAGAACAGAACCAAGATACTTCACAGCTACTGTTAGAGGAACCAAAAGTAACCTAGACATATAACAATATGTACCCGACATTGTGTATCACAATAATCTCAGGCAAACAGAAGCGATTTCATCTCCATGCATAAAACTTCTATAAGCGTATGAAAGGAAGAAGACATCTTTGATCTTTCCGAACAGATATTTCTGGAACACAGGGAGATACTCGCCCATGAAAGGATATTTTTTCTTTTATGAAGTGCAATTTGTATTAATAACAAAGACATCCAGAAGATTCATGAAATTACCAAAAAGTAGAAGATATCAGCTCCCTTACTAAAGGATAAATACGATAGAAGAAAACATCAATGTAACAGAAGTATTGACACAATCTATATGCAGGTTAACAAGTAGCAAATGCACAATGACTAGCCACAATATAGAGGTAGAGGAAGGAATCCAATGAGCACCTTGAGGACGTATCAATAATAGTTACAGGTACGCGGTCAGGGTAGATATCATCAGGTAGCCTAGTCGGAGGCAACACTGGAGGGACATTGGGCGGATAAGAATCAGTGGCGGCCGTCAAGATCAAACTAGACTTTCCAGTCTTGGCATCACCAGCAACCACTATTCGAACACTGGGTGCATTACCCTTTCCAGCAGCTGAACCACCTCCTGCCATTCACTCACTTCTCTTTTTCTCCCTCTACACACCACAAATACACAAATAATCAATATCCCCAACAGAGTTAGAGCACAATAATTGCACAAACAATATAGAGTATCAAGATTTTGCTAGATTTGAAAGATAAAACCCTAAACCCAATGAAAAAATCAGTCACATGTATGTAAATACAACTACTTGAAAACCAAAAATCCTAACTTGGTCCCCAAGAACACAATATATGCAAAACAAATTAGAGATATCAAGGTTGCTATAGTTTTCATACCTACAAATACTTTGGAATCAAAATCCCATATATAGAACAAGCAATAGATATATCAAAAACTGCTATCGATTTCAAATATATATATATATATATATATATATATATATATATATATATATATATATATATATATATTTAGACGTGAGTATTTGGGTAATGGAAAAATTACCTTTCAGTGTAAGATTGGGAAATTTTGGAAGGGCCCAAGTGATGTTAAAATAGGCAGCTGGAAATGGAGGTGGAGGTAGCTTGGAGAAAAAGATTTTTTCCAGAAGAGTTTGAAGAGGGTTTAGGGATAATTTTTGTATAAAAGGGTTTTTGTGTGTGAATGAAAGCTCAAGGGTTTGCGAAATGTTTATCGTACATGATTTTTTTAGTCGAAACGTTCCAACCTGGGCGGCGTCATTAGGTCCGAATACCTGTTGGCTGTCCCTTGGGACATATTATCGTACGCTAACGTATGATAATGACTTAAAATTCGCTGCTTTTCTTTTTTTACTTTTACGATTTAGTAAATTATTTTCCAATAAAATTGAGTGGCATTTACTCTTTAATTTTACTTTAAACATTAAACTCCCCAGATACTCATTTACTCATTTACCAGATGCATCTAAATTATGCCCTTATAAATTATAATAATAAAAAAAATTTAAATTTGTTATAAAATATATTGTAGTGGATGTACATAACCATCAGAGTAATACCCACTACTCTAATACTTATGGAGTTATGGTTGTAACTCTCATACCTCCGCATGATCTCAATTGCTTAATGGCATATTTATGGAATTCTTTTGGTATACCTCTATGTAGTATTATAAATAGAGGATGAGAAGTCATCTTGTAACACACTTGATTACATTGAATAAATAAGAATCTCTCCTCTCTTTCTCTCTACATTCTTGTCTATTTGTTTGTTTCATATATTACTTTGAGCTATGTTTCTTAACACGTTATCAGCACGAATTGCTCATTTCATGATCTTCTACGTCAAGATGTTGTGGTAGGTGCTCTTTAACTTCGACTCTGGTCATACCATTTTGGCGTGCAGGTAACTTATTCATGATCTTAATGGTAAGAGTTTATACATTAATACTAGTGCAAAAAATATCTAGTTTTTGTTTTTTAATCCTAATAAATTAGACCTCATATGAAGTTTTTATGGGTAAAATTGTACTCCTGTCTATCAGTAACGAACACAATTGTCTCCTAAACCAAAATAAAAGTTTTAGTGAAAATCTTAGAAGCTATAAGTTTATGTTTAGTAATTTTGGTGCTACTACTTATTCGGAGTTTTCTTTTCCTTTGATACTTGTGTAGTATACATAGGTTTTCCTTCATACTATCAGCATATGGTTTTTAAATTATTCTTGTGCTTTCAGCTAACATATTAAGTGCAAATTTAGAAGACTGCAATGTTATAGACTTACAATTTATCCATGTATTTTGTAAAGTGATAAATTTTTAAAGGCTCAAAGGTGAATCTCAGTTGCACTTTGGCCTATTATGCTATTGGTTGCGGGTAAGACGGTGGGTTCAAGTCCCATCGCACCTTGAGGGTAAGACACTAGGTTTAAGTCCTAGTGCACCATGATAATAAGACGTTGGGTCCAAGTCTCAATGTATTATGGTCTAACATGCCTTTATATAGGTAAGGCATCGGGTTTGAGTCCCAATGCAGCATATTGATGATCTAATGATGACTAATGAAAATAATTTTTCATGATTGTATGAATGTACGAGGGCATGACAAGCGACGAGATAATAATTGTCATCATTATGGTAACTATAAAAGGAGAACAATAAGGGTTCTCGAAGTAATCCTTCAAAAGGTGAAGGACATATTTACCATCAAATTGGTATGGAAAATTTATAAAGCACGTCGCGGTAATTATACTCTATTCTTTGAAGAAAATGTGACTTGTGATAAGCATTGAGAATGCAGATTCATTACTGAAGGAGAATGTAACAATATGTGATAAAAGTAATGAATAAAGACGTGCAATGCATGATTGAATACACACCACAACTCACCTCTAAGGGAGGTTTGAGAGAAAGAAAGATAATGAATGTTACTGCGTGATTACATGAATATGTCATTGGTCGCGTACATGTGGTACGCCAAAAATATTTTGACATGCCTTATAAAAAGTTATAAAAGGCAAAATTAAAGCAAGAAAAGATTTTTCTTATGATGACTTTGACCATAACAATTTATTATGATATGATTTTCTCCGCGAAGGAGACATTTACCATATGAATAGTGTGCCAAAAGATCTTGTAGTACAAAATCAATTAAGAGCTTCGGAAGAATTAATTTGTTACTACCCAGATGAATAAAATTATCCATGACATTGATATTATAGTAAGTCTCAAAAGAAACTTTTTGGGTTTCAAATGTATTAGCCAAAGTGGTTGGCATATTGAGACTATAAATGAAAGGAAGATTGGATATCTTTATATTACTATAATCATACCGGGTAAATATGAAAGGTTACCCGACTTTTCTTCTATTTGTACTACACAAATATAATCATGATGATGAAATCACATGCCACAAGTAAACTAGGTTTACTTAAACAATTATTAGTTGGCATGACCGGTTGGCCATCCCAGTTCAATTATGATGCGAAAATTAATTGAGAATTTACATTTGCATATATTGAAGAAATAGTAGATTCTTCAAGAATCCTCTGATGTTGCTTATTCTCTTGATATACCAGTTAAGGTTGGGATTGAATCCCTTAAAATCTAGAACGAATAAAAGGTGATATATATATATATATATATATATATATATATAGGCCCAGTCACCTTCCATGTGGACTGTTTACTATTATATGATTTTAAAAGGTACATCTATTGTATGATCACATGTGCGTTTGTTGTTAACTTGCAATATGGATTTTGCAAGGTTGATTGCTCAAAATATTAGAGCACAGTTCTAGAATAAAAATTATGATAATTTATCTTGATAATGCCGGTTTAAATACAAGTTGGTTTAGCAGAAATTGTATGCCTCTAATTATAGCTAAACCACTGATTATAAGATGTATTATTTAACATACAGCAGCACTTGTACGCATCTAGCCAAGTTATGATAAATTCTTCTTATCACAATTGGTTTAGAGTCAGGAACCAAATAAGTTTTATCTAGAAATTTAATTATCCCACCACAATGCACAAAGATGAGTGCTCAAAGAAGGTTGGGATATGTGTTGATGATCCCAACATTAGGGGGAGAAAATGGGTAGCTGAAAAAGTGATACGTGGAATGAATTATTATGAGTACATCTACATCCTCGTACAAGAAAATGTGAAGTTGAAGTTCAAGTGATAAGTCATTTGTAAAATATTGCTAGGCGCATTTTCTGACCCAAAGTTAAATGTTATATTTCAGCTGCTAATACTCCAAATAGAATAAACTCCATGATGGACATAGTCTATGGAACGCATGAAATGTAATAGACTAATCGGTTCCAAAGATAAAACTCCTTGAAGAAGGACATGAGCAAATGATAGAGGTGGTCATACTAAGGAGGCAAGTGCTCTATAAGAGCACCACGACATAACACTTTATAAGACTTTATGGGAGAGACTCAAGTACCTGAAAATAATGAGATAAAGAGATCTCAATAAGTTATGTCTTTATTGGGTAACGATGGAACCGATATAAAATGATCGTCAACGATATTGTTGATATAATGTAGCGCTCAATATTATTAATATTGACGAGAATTTTGAGCTCAAATCTGTCGTGGAATTTGGACAGATAAATGATTGGCCAAATAAAAAATACGCAATGCAATTGACTTCGCCTGAAAAATATGAAGTTGGACGGATAGTCCCAACATCTGAAAGTGAAATAAAAAATCAAGTCGATAGACATAAAGACGACTTGTAAATATTCCGGCATTAGTTACATAGAGATATGTTCTCCTATGGTGGATGAAATCCTTTTCAGATTTTAATTTGGCAATTCATGACAATACATTTGATATGCATATAATGAAAATCCTTGAAGGATTTAAACTGTTCTGAATCATATATAGGTTCCCGAAAATTTTGCTTCAGCATTCCATGTATGACATATATGATTTATTTTTGTGTCTTGGTGCACTAGGTGTCTTAGTGCACTGGGTGCACTTACATTTCTTGCTAGAACCCTGAGTATAATGTTATACTAGTAAGATTTAACTTTAATTTGATATGGAGACACCGGAATGCAATCAGTAATATATTAGAAGAGAATCATTGATAAATTTGTTTAATCTAACAAATACTGTCAAGATTTTGTTGGTTATGCAAATGCAGGCATTTTCCTGAAGTTCGTTCTCAAACAATCTATTTGCATGTGAGGGTACTGCCATATTATTATTCTACAAGGCAGTTAATTGTTGACACTTATTCAAGTCATGCCAAGATAAGCAACTGATAAAGCAAGGGACTCAACACACAACAGATGTGTGATTTTTCCTTGAAGAGAAGATTCCAATAATATTGAAGATAATGTTGTTTGCTTATCTCAATTGGAAGAAGGATATATTGAAGGAAACAAAATAAAGCACATTTCACCAAAGTTCTGTTCTGACATGATCTTCGACGGATTGGTGATATAGACGTTCAACAAATTTATTTGATTGATAATTTGGTGGATCTGTTCAATGAATCATTACCAACCCCAGCATTCGAGAAGCTGGTAAAAGGGATTGGAATGCATCATTTTCGGAAAGTAAAGTGATGTTTTCATCAGGGGGAGTATGATACGCGTTGCACTCTTTTTTCCTTAGCTAAGGTTTTATCCCACTGGGCTTTCCTAGCAAGGTTTTTAACGAGGCAGAAAACAATGTGTATTACAAGATATGTGTACTCTTTTTCCTTCGCTAAGATTTTTTCTCACGGGATTTTTTTAGTAAGGTTTTAACGAGGCACATTATTATGGACATCCAAGGGGGAGTGTCATAAAATATATTATAGTGGATGTCCATAACCACCAAATGAGTAATACCCACTACTCTTCTCCATTATCTCCATAACTCTCACTACTCTAATACTTATGGAGTTATGGTTGTAACTCTCATACCTCCCCCATGATCTCAAATGCTTAATGGCATATTTATGAAATTCTTTTGGTATACCTCTATGTAGTACTATAAATTGAGGATGAGAAGTCATTTTGTAACACACTTGATTACATTGAATAAATAAGAATTTCTCCTCTCTTTCTCTCTACATTCTTATTTATTTGTTTGTTTCATATTATTACTTTGAGCTAAGTTTCTTAACAAAATTAACTTTTTCGTTATTGCTTCATTCGCTCATAAAGCCCAGATCAAAGGACAATATTTTCACATTTATGATAGCCAAGTAATATATCTGCGTGAAAAATAATAATTATTGAATCATTATATACA